TAAAAAAATACATCTAGTTGCAAGATGGATAGGAAGAGTGCTGGATGAGGCAGGTCCAGGTGAGCGGGCCATTACATTACATTGGACAAGTGATGATTGAAAGGGTTAGAGTGCAGACAAAAAAAAATGGATAGTTTCAACAAGTAGTGAAGAATTAGAATTGATGGACTAAAAAACAATTGGAGAAACAGAAAAGAGTTAAAGTAGCTATTAGGATTTTGATTTAAGGTTGCTGGGAAACTGATGCTACCATTGTATGAGACCTGTAGCATGTGAAGAAAAGGAGGTTTGGGAATAAGATCATACACTGGATTTAGTGTTGCAATGTTGAATTTTAAGATGTTTTTGGGAAATTCATGTTCGACTATCCAATAGGTAATGAGGAATGACTTCTGGGGTAGAGATAAAGACATAAGATTCACCATGGTAAATGTGGTTGATTGTATGGGAGTGGAACAGGCCATCTGGAGAGAGATTGGCGAAGAGGAATAAGGATGGAATCCCAGGGAACCACAGTATTTAGTGGAGAGGTAGAGAAAGAGGAACTAGTTAAGGAGAGTGAGGAATTAGTTGTCAGAGAGAAGAGAGTAATAAGTAAATAACTAAATAAAAACAACTGAAAAAAAGGAAGGTGAATAAAACATTTCAAAAACGATTTAATGGTGAACCAGATTAAATACTGTCGGGTAAGCTAATAAAACACATACACTATCCACTATATTTGGCTATTGGTGTAGATATATTTGTTTAGACCTAATACAGAGAAGTACAGTGGGACTGGGGTTTTGCTTGTACACAGCCACCGTTAAGAGCAACTAGTGATACTCTCATCTCAGAGTATAAGGGAACAAAGAACTCTACAACAACACGAGATAGTCTTGCTCACCTCTGGATGTCCAAGCTTTGGGTTAGTGCCCAGATATGTGGCAATTACCACTAAAAAGAAATGAGAACTGTAGGACATGAGGATGTAGCAAGCAAACATTATGGGGAGATTGTGGTCATAAAGTAATGACATATGCATACATTATGGAAATGCAATCTTAGAGAGAAACTTCACTTTCTCTTGGGGCATGTGGATTCAGTCCTGAAGATTTTATTATGTAGCTCTACTCTGTCACCAATTAATAATATACCAATTAATACCAATTATAATAATACCAATTAACAATATAAAAACATATAATATAAAAACATTAAATTTGATTTTAGGTGAATCTTGAGTCCTCTGAATCATCACCACCTTTTTAGTTTCCACATTGGCTTGGGGATTCAGTGACAATTACTGAGAGTCCAGGAGATACTAAAGATGTCATTGGCAATGAGAAATATTTAACTAGAAGTCAAATTGCAAAAGGATAAGAAATAAGGAGAAGCATTAAAACAGGCAGTATAGATTACTATTTGAGAAACATAAGTTGTGAAGGAAACAGGAACTTGAAAACTTAAGAACATTTGTGGAAAGTTAGTAAAGAGTAAAGTTAGTAAAGAAAAAAAAAGGGATAATTAAATAGACTTTCTGTTAAGGTTAGAAGAAAATTGTTTAGAAACATCAGAAGAAGAAATACATCTTAGCCAAGACGTGGGAAGCTTCTTCGGTGTCCAGGGACATGAAAAGAGAGAGCGGTGCAGCATTTATGTCTACACCAAGCCTGCAGGCAATGAGTAAGCATTGTTACACACTTTTTACAGTCATCTAGAAGACAAGTAAAAAGAAGGGAGATGGTTTGATTGATTGATTGATTGGGCAGAGATGGCAGAAAGACAGGAAAGTAACAAACTTGAGAGCACCGTGGAGAAACATGAACCAGGGATTCCAGACTAGGGGGAAGACTGCTGAGGAAACGTCTATCTTGATATAATCAGAAAGGAGATGTAGTGGTGGTTAGGCAGTTAGTGGATTATAGTCAGATAGTTTTGTTAATTTTGACTTTACTGTGAGAGATGGCAAGGATCCAAAATCCCAACAACCCAAACTAGGTAGATGCAAGAAATATAAAAGAAAAGACATTAGAGGTTCTATGACTTGTTTCACTGGCCAGCATTCTGTTTGTTCCAAGTGCTTAGGTAGTGTTTTATCCTTGTGACCTGAATAACATGAACTTAAATATTTATATTTCCTCTTGCCTTCTACTGAACACCCAGCCTGGACTCAGGCTGAGCACTGTTTGATGCCTACTTTCCTGAGTCCCACCTTGGTCTCCGCATGGTCTTCACTGCTTGGATGTAATAAAAATAATACGACAAAGTGACAGCAATGTCAAAATTAAAAGTTAAGCTCTCTTTGCTTCTCTACTCCACAATGTTATCCTAACACAGTAAAATCATGGGTGTATGTGACGACTGATTTTATCTCTGACTCATTTAGAAGCTCTGTAGTGGAGTGGGCAGGGTGGGTGCATCAGGAAGCCTTGAACTTCTTCTAGATCAATGGTTCTCAAGTGGTGGGGGTGCGGGTGGGAGGGAAAAAGGTATCAAAGCCACACAGAGAATTATTTCAAGGGAAATAGAATGTTTGTGTGTAAAAGTATCTATGTGTGCGTGGGTACAGGGTGGGTGTCGTAAAAACTTTTGGGGGATTCTGATACACATCTCTTTCTCCTGATTGAAAATCTCTTCCCTGCAGATGAGCAATTAAAAATGATAAGTGTGATGCTGAAATTTAAGATCTAGGAAGTGGGAAGATTTTGGTAGATGACAAAGTCCAGGAAGTAGCTACAATGAGAGGTAAAGTAGTGCAGAATAGAGGTGAGCATTACTGGAGTGAAGGCCAGGGCAAAGTGAAGGTGGAGTGCTGGGTGGGTCCACCGCAGGCTGGCTGAGGCTTTAGATTTCTGCTGTATCACCTGCAGCACTTTCTCCAGCCCCAACTACATAGTGTATGTGCAATAAATACTCTTCATAGACTGTGAACATTTCAGAAAACTGTGTTACTTTTAATACCAATTATGTGAGCATGCAACATTGCTAAATACAAAAGTCATACAAGCTCACAAATGACTTCAGAGACTGCCATTCTTGTAATTAAAGCATAATTTAGGGCCTACTAAGACATCATATATCATAGATTCTTTCCTGTTTTCACTTGAGGACTATACATTTTCTCTATACTACTACAGAGTTCACTCAGAAGCTTTGCTGCCTGGCAGTTACATTTCTTCACCCATTATTGTTTCTCCAAAGAGAAATAGCAATATTATTCATTTTCTAACATGGCGCGTTGCACTGTGTTTGAGTGAGACTCAGGTATAGGGCATTTACAGTGGGCTGTTCTGGGAGTATTGCCTAAGAATTGGATTGCAATGTCTGTTATCTATTGGAAAAATATTTCTGTGAATTTATGATAACAAAACGACGGCATAGGATGCTTACAATTGACAAAAGATAAACTTGACAATTTCACACTTGTTGCAAATGAGTCAAAAACTGGAATCTTAATATGTCTATGTAATTAAACAAAATAAGTAGCATGAGACATAATAAAAAATATGAATCATGCTAAGTTTACAGACCACATGCCAGAAAAATACCTTCTGGGACAAATACCCTTCTCCTCCAATAAGTTATAGTTGAATTTCTTTTTTAAAAAAACTGCTTTTTTTATGATCTAGTCTCATCTATGTTATTACCCATATAGGTAACCTTGAGAAAGGCAATTTCCCTTTCTGGGATTCAGTTTCTTTCTCTAAAATATGTTGGCTGAACAAATCCATCTCTAGAAGTTTCCTTACAGTTCTGCAATTGGCTTTAATTTTATGATATGCACAGTAGAAAGCTCCTTGGAGACAGACAAACATAAATTCAAATCCTAAATTCGTCACTTATTAGTTTTTTAAGCTTGGAAAAACTATACCTTTTTGGGTACTAATTTTGTAATCTGTGAAATGAATAAAGATACCACTCTAATTGAATTCTTTGAGGATTAAATGGTGGAATATGTGCTGAGAAGTGATTAGCATAGGGGTAGTTGGTTAATAGGCATCCAGTGTCTATTATCAAACCAAGGCCTTGATTTCCTGCCCTTTCCTTCTCTCCTTAAAAATTCAGATCCATGTGTATTATTGATTTACAAATAAAAGTTATTACCATAAAATTTGGAAGATACTGTGACCTCTTGACAAGCAAAATTTGTAAGATGTGGACATTTTGGGAAGTCCACATCCTATATTCCACAAGTGATTTTTGGTTTGGGAATGCCTTTGGGTTAGAATATAGCAGACAAGGTAGCAGTAAGAGGCCAAACTGAACCAAAAGCTCCATATGACTTTGTAATTTAGCACTATTTACATATTCAAAGACAAGCATGGTACCACATGCATTAATAATAGTGTATCACATATGAATATAAACCCTCCACATGTACTCAGCACTGATTCTAAACTTTACAAAATCACATGAAATCAGTTCAGAATTCCACAACTTTAAGAAAGAAGAGAACTTTAGATTCACAAGAAAGCTATAAAGATAGTAACTGAGGATATTGAAAACTGATCACGGGGGTTGGATGTTTAAAAACAGACTACCAGAGACTGTCTAAAACAGCCCCAGGAACCTCTTTTTATACTTGTGAGTCTACTAATGGGTGATTTGTTTGAATTTTAACTGGAAATTTTGGCCCCTGATGGCTTAGATAGAAAGGAGTACTCCAAATTTAATATTTCCTCTTTCTCTTCTTGGAAAGACTCACATCGTTAACATTTTCTTCTAGTAAAATCTGATTGAGGGCTAAATGAGACCCATGCCCCTATCTCAGTCAGTTGAAAAGTTGTGTAAAGGGAGACGTGAGCAGACTTACCTTGCGTCCAATATACAATTATTAATACAAAGAAGGGCTGAGTTCCTGGTATAACCACATAGATTACCTGTTGAAATGCTGCTCTACCTATTTCACCTGGGACTCTATCAAAGCCCTCGAGGACAGCTAAGTGGGCTTTTTATTGTAAAGAGACTTCCTGTTGTCTGCTATTTGTCCAGTAATTCATGAACCACTGGCATATTACTGGTTCCTTATTTATTACCACTGATAAATGATTTCATAATACTGACCAGAGGGATTACACAACTCACAAAAACTTTCCATATAAGAACCATGATGTCAAAACACAGCAGAGGCCATCAAACACCATATTAATGAGGATTTTGTTAGCTTCTAATGATGATAATTATTGTATCAGAATGCAATTCACACTAATTATTAGTAAAATTTTACAAACATTAAAAAGTGCATAATAACATTTGGATCTGATAGGGCTGAAAAAAGACATGAAAAACACAACACAAGGGCTTTACTTTTGTGATTGGTGTCCACATGATTGCAAAGAGATGACTATCTCCATCTTTTCATCCTGAAAAATACCTTCTGGGAAGGTATGCTGTCCTCCAGATTTAAATAGTAACGTACAACATCGTGAGAAATTTGATTCCATAGTACAAAATATTTCCAGTTCTTAGTATTATCTTGGCTTTTCTTTTTTACCTTCCTAATTCTCCAAAATTCTCATAATTAAAACCAAAAATATTAGTTGGGAGAAGTCATCCACTTGGAAATAAAACAAAATTGACAGATTGAATTCTGGTCTGTGTAGACACCAAACAGACTGAATTCAGGTAATATTCACATTAATGGATATTGTCAAATGCCTGTATAATAAAGCAAAGAAATCTTGATGAATTTGTTATATTTCATTCATCAACGTATAGTGATCAAGGGGAAAGATTACATTTAAAAAGTGTGTTCTATCTTGTGTACACCACCACACTACGGAAAATTAAAAACAAGACAGCCCTTTTAAAAATGAGTGGTATAAAAATTCACAGTAATGTACATCATTTTTGTTTTTCATAAGCAATCCGAGAAGGGGGGCAGTGCTGAGCATCTATATTGTACAATACAAAACAGTGTAAATAACACATCAGTAACACACAGATACACAATGCTAAAAACAGTTCTTTCTGGATGGTTCTTTTACTGGGTGAATACTTGAGCCAGAGATATTTAAACTCTGGGGTTCAACCAACCCTCCGCAATTAGACACAATTAAATCCTCTGACATCGTGAGGGCCAGATGCTACAGGAAGAATCATCATCTAGGTCAGTACTACTCTCTACAAGCATTTCATCATATGGTCATGTGAAAGGATCCAAACAAAAATGACATCCAAGCACAGGCCACATGATTTCAACCATTGCTAATGACAAAGGTAGAGGAAAGTCTGTCTGTAGCCACAGCCTCTGCCCCCATTTTTAACATAACGAGCAGGATCCTGTGATGCAGCACAGCCATTTTCCTTTTCCCCTTTTCACTCATGGAAACAAATGCACTCCAGCCACGCCTGGAGATTTGAGACATCGTCAGGTGTTGTCGAAGGTCAAGGTGGGATGTTAGCTTTCAGATTTTGCTGCTTCTCCCTGGGCTTCCCCACTCTGTTCTGTTGAACTCCGCTGTGCATCTTCTTCACCTTCTATGAAAGAAAATGAAAAAAGAAAAGATAAAGGCAAAATAAAACTACTGCTTATATTTATCAACTCTCTGTACATTATATTGGAAACTTTAGAAATACTCAAGAAGTCTGAAATCCTCATAGAGACAAATGTATTTTCTTGGCGGTCAGTTCAACATCAAGAAAATTGCTTAAGTTTTCAAGGGCTGGCTAATTCCATGAACTTGGGACAGCATGGCTCAAAAACAAAACAGCGTTAGAATTTTCAGAGTGGTTAATTATCAGCTGTGTTTTTAATAAATAGCTAGGAAATCTCATGGCCAGGTCATGCCACTTACATTTAGTTTTCACAGGTTCCAGGAATCAGAAATGTCTTAAGAAATCAGAAGTGGGAGCATTTTTACCTTTTGATGCATATTTTATTTGAAGAAATATTTTAAAATTGCATTTTTCACTTTTTAAAGCACTTGAGGATAACCCAGCTGATTTCTCAGAGGTATAAAAGCAATAGTGGAAGATGAAAGGACGTTATATCAGCTGGTTAGTCCCTTGGCAAGCAGTTAGAATGGCCTCTGGCCTGCCCTTAGAGAACTCATGTATAATTCTAACAAAACTACCCTCATAACTGCACACTTAGCAGCAATCTTAGCCAGCGACATAACAGACACTGAAACTAAATAATACTTTCACCTGACAATAGGTCACTTTATATGAGTACAAGCTGTAGCTACTCCTTGACTTAAAGATCCAGATATCTGCACGTGTTATTTGGTTACTATGCAGCCAAGATGGATTGGGGGACAAAATATTTTGGGGTGTTGCAATAATATAAATCATATTGATATTTTCTAAGAGGTTATTATAATCAAATGGATGAAGGTAAGTGGGCAGGTCCATTCTTTGGATCATAATGTTGAAAGGCAATTTATCCTTTACTCTTAAGTACATACAAAACATCTCGATACTCCAACGATACTCAGTCTTTAGGGAAAATAAAAGTAGTCCTTCCACATAAAAATCATATTCTGTTCTAAAGAGGTACCAAGGGTATGACCAAGCATTATGTATCATTTTCATACACTATTTCATTATTAAAGTAATGAATAGGCTCCCATGATGTGCAGATGGCCTGAATCTGAGATGTGTAGATTAGCATGCAACAAGAACTTGAAAAATAGGAGAAACTCTTGGTAACCAAATGAATGAAGTCAAATTAGGACAGATGTAAGACAGTAGAAATTTAAGGATGAAAGTGACTGCATAAATATAAGATGAAGAACTTGACTCCCATGGGGCTTGCAACTTTTTGAGTGTCTGGGGACACTTCTCAGGCCTCCTTATTATGCTGCAAGCACAGACCCATGGCTAAATAGATGCACGGTGAATGTGGGGCAGAAATATTGTTTAGTAAAAATTAAAATCAAACTGAAACACCCAGAAATTACAAATTCTCAGCTATGTTAAATTTGTCATTATACTTTTGTCATTTTTTATATTTTAGACTTTTATATAGTACAGTTTTTATTTTTAGTTCTTTGTACTTAGAAAAATAACATCAGTGCTCTTTATACTTTGCCAAGTTCTGGACTTTATGATTTCAAGAGAAACAGAAAATTTTGCAAGGACTTAGAGAATTGCAATTAACATACAGAAATGTTTTGAGAAGACATTTGGAAGTATAAAGATATTTAAATTGTTTTAAATTAATCATACACATAAAATATAAAATAATTTTATTTACTTTAGTTATTCATATAAAATGTCAGCTTACTATCCAAGTTATTTATAATAATTTAGTATATTTTCTTGTATAAGAAAGGTCTTGGATCTAACAATTCTCAATTTCAGAGAAAACAGAAAAATTAAATTACACTAGGAATAAAAAATGTCCTACATTAAGGGTGGCTAAAATTAATGCAGATTATTGAAAATACAATATTAATAAAAAAATAAAAAATATAAATCTTATGAAAGAAATCAGCAAATTCTCAAATACTACAGGAAAAGTGTATTTACCCATCCCATGTTACCAAATTGGAATAATTCCCTATGTAGTCTGTCTCAGAGCTGCTTTGGGAAGTAACTACTGGTAGTAATAATACAAAAACAATAAAACCTAAAATATACATAGGTCTATATGTTCCAAAGTGGTGATGATGAAGTTTTATTATTAATCTGAACTTGAAAAGACCAATCTGTGACCTGTGGATCTTTAGACATTGAATCCAACGCTCTTCTTATGTATTTAGTTCAAGGTAACACTGCTGAGCTGTTTCGTTAGTATATACATACTCTGACTCAGTTCTCCAATAGTCTGAAAGCTTTGCCATAAAAATTCTAATAGCGAAGCCATTGAATGATTGATTGCAAGTCAGAAACTACGATAAGTGCTTTTTACATATATAGCATGAGATCCTTAATCATGAATTCTTTTTACCTTTAAAGGTTATTTTTGCCCAAGTCTTTTCAGGAAAATACATTTAACTTTGATATTTACAAAAGCCGCAGGACTTGTTCTAATATTCAGAAGAAGTAAGGCTGTCAAGTATTTTAATGTGTAAACTTGTTTTTCATTAGCAGTTAGACTCCTTAAGTAAGAATTCAAGGCCCAGTTAAAAGAAAATTTTTCATAAACCTATTCTATGATGAAAGGGAAAACTAGAGGTTCCTTTAACTAAAATTTACTTATATAACAGACTATTTTATTTCCATTCTCAATAAAATTGATTCTGGAGACCCTTTTCTTCTGAAACAGTTCTTAGAACTGAGGTCCATTACATTCATCTGTGAATCTTGTTAAATATCTATTAGGTGTTAGAGGTGGCCAATATTGTCAAGGGTAGGAGTTCCGCCTTTGCTAAATATTCTACATAAGCAATTTCAGAGCTTTTATAGAGATTAGGATTTAAAAAACCCACCATTTGTATTATTGATTGAATTAATAAAATCAGTTTAAGGACTCTGCATTTGAGTGGGAAATTTGTAAAGAGAAGTCATTGAAAACAGAGTGAGAGTGACTAAGAGATTAGTCCTAGATTTGCATCTTGCCCTACACTGTTTATAACTCTATTAGTTTACTTTCAAAGGTGGCTTTTCATGCCTTAATCCTACTTAGTAAAATGCTGCAAATCATTCCATGTTCATAGAAAGATGTGTGCCAAATGACTCACCTGTCTTGTTGATATCAAGACCTGCTAATTTCAAGGCTAATTCATTGCTGTTGCCACTTGCAGAGGAAACCAGGATATCATGTATTGCATTTCTTCTGCCTGTTCTTCCCGAAGCAATAAAATCTGCATATGTAGTTTCCACATCAGTCATTGCTAACAAATATCCACATAGCAGGGACTACAAAAGAGAGAAAAATAAATAGGTAGGTGTAACAGTAGTCAATGGTAAACATTTAACAGACTCTTGTTAAACTACTGGCCTACCACATGAATGTGAAACAATTGTCTTGTTCACATGTTCATAAAGCAAGTAGTGCCTTTTCTTGTCCTAAGTATTTAGATTAAAGGTCATGGAACCTTTTCTGTACAGGGCCTGATAGTAAATATTCAGGCTTTGAGGGTCATATGATCTCTATTCCAACTACTCAATTTTGTCCTTATAGTATAAATGTGGTGATAGACAATACATTAAATAAATGTAATAAACTTTATTTACAAAAATAGAGGCCTG